ATAATAAATCTTATTGGGGGGTTAGAAGGAAAGGGGTGTAAGTGACTTTGATCGATTCTCTTCATCGACTTTCTCTTTCGTTAATAATTCAGCTGCAAACACATTCCTTGATTCGTGTGCCATTCTGGATGCTAGATGAGAACCTCGGTTATCAAACTATGTGGCAGAAATAGTGCAAAATCTGCTTATAAAACTGTGGCTATGAAAAGAGAAAGTCGATGAAGAGAATTAATCAAAATCACTTACACCCCTTTCCTTCTAACATCCTCATTTGATAACTGCAGCAGGAGCTTGTGTTTTGTGTAGGAATAGGAATTTGAGCAGAGTTCTCTCTGTTTATACACTTTAGTATGACGCGCTTGACATAGATGGCCCATAGCGACTCACGAAGAGCTACTGATTCCGATCAATAGCGGTGCGGCTTCCGAGGGGCACGCAATACAAAGAACCGGTGCGTTGAAGTTAAAATGCAATCAAAAGTACTTAAAGTAATTAATGCGGTAATTGAAATGATCTATCCGTAATGAATGTAATTAAAAGTATTGAAAATGTAATTAATGTACTTTAATTACGAAATTTCAACTGTAATTAATGGATTTAAAAAGTAGTTAATGTTCTACATTGTGTAATTAATGTAATTAAAGCAGTAGTTAATGGAATTAATTTAATTAATTGCGTGCCCCTAGGCGGCACATTAAAGCCTTTAAATTCCATCTATGGATGCTCATGTGGACTGCAGCTTGCAGGCAGCGAAAGTTGTGTACTGGAGAACACCTGCACTCACCACGCGGGGATTGAATAAACACCGTTTGGTGAGACCGGATGGAATTCAACTTTGAAATCTATGTTAGGGAAATCGCTTTTCGCAAGCAATCGGTGATAGTTTTAATTATGATAGCAAAATTGCACATTTGTTGCGTTTTTCAATAGTGAAATTTTGAAAAATAATAAAATATAGAAATATAGAAATATTTCTGATCAATTGGTGATAAAATTTTTGAGTTTGTCCAGAGGCAGCTGAGCTATTAAAGTTCGAAATCTTTCATAATTTTGTTACATGTGCCATTTTCGGTTTTCACAAAGTGAACCCCCATATAAAAATCACAGACGTAGTCCTACGTCAAAAATTTTTAAGCGTCTTTCTGCTAAAGGCTATGATTTACCAACTTGTTGAGAGAAGAAATTTAACGAGAGAAACTAAAAAAGGGAGGAGCTTTAGCTGGGTGGACACTGATATTCTGTGGCCTTCCAATCTATCGCAGACACCAGTTCAACCCCTGTCCAGCAGCAGACGGGCCGAGACTCTTGCGAGTGCCCAATCATTGAACCGAAGATTTGCTGATCCAACTACACGTCATCATCATCTTCCAATGGCTTTAAGCGTGTACTACCATCGGCCACTAAGCTTTTCCAAAAGAGTTAAATTTCTGAACATGTCCCAACTAAAATTCATATTAAAAGGTTATTTTCAGGGAAATCATAGTCATACTAAAGAACCCCGCTTAAATTCCTATTCCTACACAAAATACAAGCTCCTGCTGCAGTTAACCAATAACATTTATTACCATTGCGTACAACCCCATAGGGCTGTCTCTTGTAGTTTTTTTTCGAGCAAATGCCATATGTTTACACCAGGCTTGCAATAGGCCTTTTTAATGCATCACCAACGTAGAGGGCACCACGAGAGTTCGAGAGAAAACGTCAACCAAACCGTTTGTTGATATCAGAAGAAGGATTTTTCACAACGCAAATTAAAGCATTTGTCATTGCCAGGTCCATAGGCAATTGTCTTATTTTACGATTTTATACACATCTAAACTGATTTGCACCTAAACTATTCACACACAAGAAATCCGGAAGATCATAACCACTATGGAACTATTGGAATTTTTAATTTTTCTCAACAAAAATATTCCTGAACACTAGCAGAATCCGTGCAAAAATGATACAGAATTAAATTGTAGCATAGTGGTTACCGTTTCCGCTTTCCAAGTAGAAGGTCGGGAGTTCAATCCCAACCTTAGCCTTTTTTTTTATTTATTTTTTACGCTTAATTAATTTATATCGCAATCATAGATCGTATCAAACACGACAACCAATTCATCGATCTATCGAAAAGAATAGCCAAGCATCCTTTCCATCGAAATTAGATGGATGGAGAGGTAACATTGGTCGCATGTAAAACACTATGAATGAATAAATCATTCTCACATCTCCTTGAACTAGCTAGAGCCACGGCTGGGAGTGCTGATAGGTATTCAGATTCAAGCTTGTATTGCTTATTTAGTTGCCCATATGATGTACTCTAGAATAGCTCAGATGGCACGGCAAGCGGCTGGTAATCGGAAAGTCATAGTTCGAATCCCCTCCATCTAACGACATGTGTGTATGCAATAAATTTTCTAGTAAATATCTCTTGTTGTGGATGGGTGCGTGTTTCGAAAGAAATACTGACACCAACAATCACAATAACTAGAACAACCCAGCTCTGTCCCGTTCTTATTTTCGGATTAATTACCTCGTAGTTGAATAATCGTTTAATAAATGTATAATAGTGTCTAATTAAACATTATTTCAAATGAGAATCAAGCGTCTATATACACCTTTATATCATCGCTGTTTAAGGAAGTAATGATGTCTAATAAACGCTGAATAATCAAAAATTTGATCGAATAAGCTCTATTACAACTCTTGTAAGTCGAATAAAAGCTTCTCGACATACCTTATTCAACACCAAATATTTCGATGTTGTGGTTGAATAAATTCTCCAGATTTGTGTGAACAAAGCCTGAATAGAAGTTATTATTCAAAATAGTACAAGTATTATTAAGCATGCAGTTGAATTAAATCGTCAAGAAGTCGTTTCTACAATAGGCAATTGTTTGTTGGGACCCCAACTAACGAGTATCTAACAAGCGAATTTCAACTGTATAGTTAAAACAGCTACAAAACAAAGCCTATAATAGCGCTCAGTATGTATATTTACACCCATTCAGGCGTAACATTTGATAACGCCACAAAAGCATTTGTAAACAAACCTTCTAAGGCCCTTTGCACGCTAACCAAAGTACGCCCACGCAAACCAATACCACTTTCGGAAAGGTGAGAGTTGCCCCTATCCGATGATGTTGTTGGTTTGCGTGAACGTACTTCGGTTCGCGTGTAAAGGGCTTTAAAAAGTTTGTTTACAAAAGCTTTTGTGCCGTTATCAAATGTTACGCCTGCATTGTTCTAAAAACAAAAGAAGCGCTCCTAGCAAATTACTTTTTTTCCTACCTTCCTCCGAATGTCGTGGGAAATCCAACGGAGTTTCAATGAATTTGGACGGAATTGAAATCAAGAAACAGTCTGGAGGGGTCCTGCTTTTCATTAAATTCAAGTCAGACAAATCAATGCTGTATTCCTGCCCCAAACGGAAAGCCCTGAAGTAGTTAGAAAATCAACAACATGGTAAAAAACGAAAACAGAACGATGAAAAGAAAAACTGGGACTACCTCTAGATAGAGCTGGAATTAGGGCGTAAAAGCTTTTGTAAACAATGGCTTCTGTCGAAGATTTCTAGGAATTCATTTCACGCCCACGCAGTCCAATACAACCATCGGGTAGGGGAAGTATTTCTCTACCCGATGGTGATGTTGATTTGCTTAGGCGAGCCTTGATTTTTTTAAATCATCGAAAGAAGTCATTGTTCACAAAAGCTGTTACGCACTAAATCCAGCTCTATCTAGACCTAAGAGTTGTTGAAACTGAGCTTTGCAATTGGGTTGTTTAACTTCGAAAAATATACCAATTTTTATACATCATCTGATAGAGCTTTGCTTTCTGAGCACAATGATTTGAAAGATTTAAATTTTTGACCGTTGACACTATATCTATTCGTTGACAGCTCGCTCCCAAACAAAGTCCCACCAAGGGGCGCTAAATGGTGATTTTTGTTAATGTAATCGTTCTTATTTAAAATAGTTCCAGTGTACCAAAATTGATGAAATTTTGCATTTCGGATCCATTTTTAATGCAAATAACGAATATGTATTTACCTCAATACCCCTAAACAACCCAATTCAGAGAAAAAATAGCATTGCATTTGACAACCCCAGGAAGCTTTTAAAGATGCGGTTGTCAAAGAATCTGACGCAGGATGCTATTTTTTCAGAATTGGCAACAGACGAAAAGATTCATGTGCTCGATGAAGATATGATGATGAGAAGTGAAGTTAAGGAACAGCAACCATTTGTGTTTAAGTATCGCATTGAAATGTTGGATTAACAAAATCTTTTGCTATTTGAACGAAATAATTAAAATGGGAAATATAAGGGCACAAATAAAAACAAAAAGTTTGCAATCAGGAATTAGGATCATTTATTATCATAGTAATGATGGATTACAATAGTCACTTAACACATAGCATTTACATCAAAAACATTACTGGTTTGCATAATTGTTGCTTTCTTGTTATTTCACCGGATTTTTATTACTGGGTTTAATATACATTGCTTAACGTAATATCTGGTACATCAATAGACAAAATTTATTAATATCAAATCGAATGTGTAGAACAAACAATTACTATATCAACACTGTTACAATATTCGTGTGAAGAACGTATATCTTTTTCTCAATTAGTTATTTAAACATGGATTATTAATATATTAAAATACCGCTTGACCACAGTTTATAGTCATCTTTCAGTTTCAGATTCCCTGTTTAAACTTAAACTAGGCCTAATATCGTTTCTTAACATCAGTCTTTGTTGTCGAATCACACGTAATCTCGTTATCATATTTTTCATAACTGTTTATGTTTGCTTTATTCATCACTGAAGCAGTTTTACGCTTTCACAAGCAATCATTTAAAATGTACTCCCTGTTAAATTTACCAACATCATTTGTAAAATTAACATGATGTATCGGTCAAGCTTCCATTTCAATGCCGATTCACAATTACACTATGATTTCCACTGGAACGTCAAATATTCCCAGGTTCACTGCATGCATCCACCCTCACCCACAAATCCCTTCACATTCCAGCTTGCGCTTCCTACCTCTCTTCCCTCCCTTGCTCTGTTCCTTCTCTTCCTTTTCCTGCGCCTTCTTGATCTCCCGCATGTTCCTGTTGCTATGACTAACTAGGTGCGCCAGCATATGATCTCTCCGCGCAAATGCCTTATCGCATCCTTCCACCACACATGGATGACCCGGTGTTCCGTGATGCGAATCGTAGTGCCGATCGCGATCCTTCATGTGCCTGTAGCGATTGTCACACTCGGTACACTTCCACTGCTTCTTGGTCGGGTCGTGATTCTCCTTGTGCTGTCGTAGATCCCGCTCCGTTAGGTACGTTTTGCCGCAGGTATCGCAGCGAAACGGCCTTGGATCCGCGTGTTTCTGTCGCCAGTGCTGTTGGAAGCTACCTCGCTTGCCAAATTCCTTCCGGCATATGTGACAGTAAAAGTCTGTACCGTAGTTGATGTTGGCCTTCCGTGGTTTCTTCTTTATCTTGGCTTCCTGGCGGTCGACTCGGTAGATTTCTTCCACCGGAAAGGCTTTGACGGTGCCGTCGGACGGAAGGACGTAGTTGTTCTGTATTTGCACGTAATCTCCCGAGGGATCAATTTGCTCGAAAACTGGTGTTCGATCTGATGAGATTGACGGGACTGGAACTGATGGGACAGATGCAACCCTTGGTGCAACGATCTGTTGCTGTTCATTTGATTGCAGCAGGATTTGAAATGGCGGTGACTGCTCACAGCTGGTGGATATCTGCGGATCTTGAACCAAAATGTAGTATGTTGGAGGAGATTCGCTCGAGTCTGGATGATTTGGAGACATTTGAACTGACGAGAGGTACTCAGCACAACTCATTCCGGGTGTTGGTTGTATTGAATCCAACGATTCGCAACAAGGACTAACATCAGCTGGAGGCTGCTCGGCCGAGAGTGATATTATTGGTATTTCTTGTTGGTCCACGTACATCACTTGGTTCGATTGTGTAGGAGCCGTTGAATATTGTGCCACCGGTGGTGGAGACTCATTATGATGTGTGTAGTACGGGATGTACGATGTTGGAGAGAATGATGGCTGGGTCATGAATACTTCTTCAGACGATTGATAGCTCACAGGAACTGTATTCAATGGTTTTGTGCAAACGGTTGATTCACTTGTTGTAGTATATTGTGACGAATTTGTAGTCACTAGATGAGGCTCATTTGAAGAATACGGAGATAATTGAATGTAAGTAGAACTGGAATCATTGTCTATAGCGTAGTTTTGCACTGGCTGTTGCTGAACTGTGCTTTGCACTGGAAAACATTTTTTTACTGACGATTGCGATGACATTTGTTCGAGGCGATTACGAACAGCTACCATCAGTTTACTACTGTTTGCATAATCTGAATTCAATGGTTCACACTGTTTTAACATAACATCCCGTACTGGTAAAGGGTTTAAGATTTGCGATTTGTCTTGAATAGGGGCATCACTCGTTATTTCGTTGCACATGTTAGGGGACGCTTGTGGTGTTAACATACCACTTTTCGCTTCATGCTTGTTCTGGCTAGCGTACTTTTCACTCGCTTTCGACGCCGTAACTTCCTCGTTCGATGGTGACGCAACTGGAGTGAGCAGAAGCGGTTGATTCAACTCCTCATACAACGCATCGTAGTCGCGTTGATCCATTGCTTTGTGATCCCATGTGCTGTTGAGTAACTCGTCCAAATCATCTATGTGATTCGGCACATTCATATCGTTAAGCACTGCGTTAAAACTTTTATCCATTTTGGCACTTCCGTTGGCATGACACTTTAAATAAATATATTCACTGATTTTGCATTTCACTGAGTAACTGAAGGAGTTCGTTATTGTAACTATGCGGATGCTGCTTACGGGAGCACTTCTACGGAACGAGTGACTGTTATGCAGTGGGTACAAGTGTCTTATGTAGGTTTTATTCGTTGGTACCTACCTGATCTTCAAAACATAGAAATCGCGGCTGCAGCCGTTTCGCTGAAGTTTTTTTTAGTGGAAAATGTTTTGGTTAATTGTATTTGATGCTCACAATTGGTGGAGGAAATATGGGAGGAGAATAATTGCCACTCTTTAAGTGTAGAATGAAATATAATGAAAAAGCAAATGGTGGTTAGTTTAAAGGAAAACGGAAAGCCTGTTATTTCCTATGAAATATCGTTAGGAGTTGATTTTTGTCTTTCATTATGTATTTTGAATAATCACTCAAAATATATCCCGTAAAGCAACAACAGGAGGGATCATTTTTGATTTTAATCTGACAGTAAATAAAGTGTTCCCTTAGGTATAAACTGGATATTTCATTTGTAGATGTGTTACATTCATACCGATCAACTGACGATTGTTTGGTACAAATCGGTTAAATGTGAAATTATACGGAGTTTAGCTCCTTGTTCCATATTTATTGTCGGGATTATCGATCCAACGGGAAATATATCTTAATTTCAATTGACCATTAGCATGAGCCTGATTGTCCACCCGCAGATGCTACTCCGTTATTGCCGGATGAGCTGTAATTACACAGAGAACCAACATTGTTTTTTAAATAACTTTATTATTGAGATTTTTAGCACTTGGCTAGTTCATCGCATATAGAACCAACAGATGATGCTTCCCAAGGTAACAATTCTGCAATCATTTGGCATCCACTCTGATTTATGCTGGCAATCAATAATCCATTTAGTTTAAATACAGCATTTTACAGTGTAAAACGTTCCTGCTTAGTAGTTCACCTTTTCGCTGTTTTAAAAACCTTTCACAGTCTGGCGAGAAATCAAAAAATGTCTTGTTTTTAAATTAAATTTAAAGTAGTTCTCAATCCCACCATAAAACTGTTCTAAAAATCAATCATAAACTTCATTAGCAATTTTTTATTAATGTCGTGATAAAATACTCTATAAACCTGTTCTATCATTATAAAAGCAATCATAAAATCATTCGGTTTTAAATGAGAGTGATATGCATATATTGTTGCCTTTTAGTCTTTTAAAAGTGTATTCTAAAATCTCCTCTGTTTACAAATTGAACTTTAAGGATGGATCTTCATAGTATAATCTAATCTAATCTAATCTAATCTAACACCAATACAGCCAGTTCATGAAAGCATCCTGGAAAATGATAGATATACACACAAACAATAATCACTACTAAAATTAAAAAAATCATTGATAGAATTAAAAGTTTTCGTTGGTTCTTTTTGGTAGAAAGTCTGAAGCATTCAAAATAAAAATGTGTAACTTGTCAAATCAAAAGTTTACCTCTTCGTTAGTTTTAAAAGTTGATGCTTTTGAATCAAATTGTAGAACTGTCAAAAGGAAAACCAATGCTTTCAAAATGAAGTGCAAACTGTTTGAGCTCGAAAAGAGTTGTTTTTATTATGACAATATATTTTTTACATCAAATTTTAAATATTATCATATTAATGATTTTCAAGATTAAGAAAAGTAGCCAAACTAATGTTTGTATCATATTTAAAACATGAATTTATTCATTTATTTTATAAACAAACAACCAAGAAAATAAAACAAAGTTTATGTTACCAGCGCAGATTGTGTCCTACACAGTTAATTTATTTCACCGAGGACGTCAATTTTTTTTGCCGAGAATCCAACAGCTGAGATTTCGTTAAAAATGTCGGTAAAAGTTCAGTTTACCGAGAAATTAGCAACACATAAATTCAAACAACTGTCAAATTTTAACGATAATTTCGGTACGCGATTACCGATATATCCTGAATTAACATAGCCGAATTTCGGTAAAACGCTTTCCATTTTGCAGAATTGATCCGCAAAATCTTGTAATTAAAATTCTTGGGTTTTACCGAATTTCATTAAAAAAACATATTAGGAACTACCGTTTTTCTTACATTTTTTTTAAATAAAAGAAGTGTATTTCAGTTTTGGACATATCTTTTACTGTGCACATCTCATAAAACATCATCGTAAAACCAAAACGTATATACTTAAAAATATAAAAATCTTTAAAATCAATCTTCAAGGGATCTAACAAATTTTTCCCCTGTAGTGGAAATTGAGGAAGTGGAAAAAACAACAGCTTTGAAGAAAAGCAAAAATTGTTTGTCAGTCGGAGCACAAGTTGTTCCAAATACAATAAAGCACTGACACAGTATGCCAAATGCCTGAACAATGTTACTACCCACTGGAATGTTCACGTTGTTCCAGGAAATAAAACATTGTTCACCTGGTGTCATACTGGTCCCCCTGATGGCTAGTACAGGATTTTTAAAACTTTCCGGAAGCGGGTCGTCCAACTAGAAACGTTAAGAAATGATCTGTAATTTATTTTCTTTTAAATTTCCATTGCTAATTTACCTTAATCCATTGAAATAGTCCGATAAGAGGGTTTTCCTTCGATGCATCTTCGTTGCGCAAACGTTTCGATCCTCGAGTTGGATTTTTTATGCGAATAATTGCAAGCGCTCTCAAAAAATCTAAATAGGGGAAATGACGGCTTCGGCATGACAGACTATTTTCGGCAACACAAATTGAAACACTATTTTCACTGGATTTTCTTACGAAAACACTTCGCTGAATGCATGCAAACGAGTCTTTATGCTTTCAGCTTCAATTTGACTATATTTTTACCACTGAGAAAATGCAATCTAGCAAGGTTTTCTTGAAATGCAACACACGCACTACAAATTGTAGCTGATTTCGAGTTGCCGATAATAGAACAGCAGATTTACATGCAGTTCAAATGGAACGGTTGCCGAAGAAAAACTGGTTGCCGACAATACTCGCTCTCACTAGAGAAGATTGGAGCTTTGTAAAAGCGTTTCAAAACAGTTTTTGACAATTCTTTCGACTGAAATTGTTAGAGCAGCTGGCAGCAAAAGATTGTAAACAAACCAATACTGCATATGTGTGCGTTCCTTAGAGAAAAAGGCTATAGAAAGAAGGTCGCTGCTTAGGTTGCCGAGAATACGTAAATTCCCCTACCAAAAATACAATATTGAATGAAAAAATACCATAAAATTGCATGTTGGTACACTTACCATCAGAGATTTCTTTGAACATGTATTTGTATGAATGAAGCACTTTATGCTGCCAGCATGCCCATTCTTCAGTGAAAACGACATTTCGGCTAGTCATCCGTTTGAAATCATATTCAATCTGAAATTTAAATATTCATATTATATTTAGTGGTAAAAGAAGCTGGTATTTGATAAAACGCTTAATAAAAAGAGCTTCGATAAAATTTTCATCTGAATCAAATTATATGCGAACAACATTTAAAAAAAACTAACTAGTTCTCCATGAAATGCAGTTGAAACAGGAAATTCTTCTAAGAAGGACATGAAATCATTATTAGAGCGATATTGACACCGAATTGCAAAAGTAGATTCCCATAACTGAATGATGCGATTTCTGTTTTCCGGTACCGGAACAATAAACTTGAGCTCCTCAATCTGTTAACAAGTCAGAAATTTTAATTAAACTAAACTAAGTGTGAAATTAATGCTTCAACAAACCATTGCGAAAAGATCAGTTTCAGATACACATGCATCTTCATGTTTCACGGATTGCTCTTTTTCCATTTTATGTGCATTCCTTTTGAACACCCGCCCTTCTGCTCGTTTAGCAAGATATTCCATATGATAATGTATCTTACCGGCATGCTTCCCATCGCCTCTGCCATTCAAATAGAACCATAGTGCCTAAAATAATTATTGTTCTATGAAATTGAACATGTTCATATATATATACCTATATATGTTAAATTGGCATAAATTGAGGGACATACTTAAATAATACTTACATGCGGTACAACTGAGACAGATGACGCCAAAACGGGATAGGACCGGACCAAAGATTTCGCTAGCATGTTTTTGTAGTAGGTAGAAGTGCGTCTAAAATAAAGGATTGGCAAATATAATATTCATTGTATTGTAAATTGAATTATCACAATAGTTGTAATGTCTTAACGGTTCGTTGAAAGTGCAAGTTTGCATTTTTTTTTTGTCTGTGCACTAAAACGTGTGCTTTTGCCACATTTTGAAAGCATACACAAAATTTGGTGATAATCCTATTAGTTCATAATGGAATATTCGATGGAATGCTATACGACACTTGATTTGCAATTTTGCCATTTGATTTGAAAACTGGAATACCCCTGTAAAGACAATCGATTTTTCATACAAAGCGTTGGAAGCGAGGTTGGAAGAAGTGCGCTGTATAGCGTATCCACAGTATCATTTGTGATTGCTGCACACTACGTCCAGCAATATGTATAAAACGTATAGAAAAAAAAATGTTGCCTATCGCTAATGGCCGTTCCAGTTTTCAACTGGCATGGCAATATAATATACATTTGATTTAATACTCACACTCCATAGTTCAATTTAAGAAAATTGCATAGAAGATGTGTAATCCTCTTTATGGTTTTGTCGTTAGGTTTCTTGGCTTCACGTAGAGTTTCAATTAAATCATTTCCTTCTTCAGTCTTGGAAAAGATTATGTTGATATCAATTTCCTGAAAAAAATCAAAACAAATCCTTTTTAGAAAAACCCGAAGGAAACCGAAGGAATTACCTTCGTTACCCAACAAAAATTAATTCTCTCGTTGAACATTTCAAACGGTCCTATCTGCTTTGATCGATTCTCTTCATCGACTTTCTCTTTTCATATTCACTGCTATGCAAACATATTTCGTGCTAATTCTACCACACAGTTTGATAAAGGAGGTTCTTATCTAGCGTC